GAACACACTATCATTATTGTTTAATTAGACATGTGTCACAAATAGGTAATTTGAATAATTTAAAAGAGCTATTGGTTTTTCTTACCTATGCGGGTACGTTAACACACGGTAGGAACATAACCACTTTACAACTTTCTGTTTTTTGACCACATAAACAGTGTTCATGCAAGCGATTGCTACATATCATAGAAGATTTATGTGGACTCTAATTTTATCTATTTAACATCCGCAACCACTTTTTCCCAATCTCTGTGTTTATAGGGAATCTGCGAATAATATCTTGTTCCGTTTCAATAAATAGACTATTCACATATTATCATAACCATACAAGCTTATGTTAGTGGTCAGTGCTTCTGCAGTCCCTTTCATTAGTGAATATTGGTCTCAATGTCAATCTAAAGCAAGTTTTTCAAAACGTTTGTAAATACCAATTTTCAAAAGAAATTCACTTAAATAAATAATCTTATTGAACCATTAGTTTTGGTTATCTAAGGACCTAAAAACCGAACGTGAGACTAACTTAATTATTTTATTTTGATTTGTAACAGAGGATGGATGTAGATGTCTATGGGCCGCAGCAACCACTTACCATCAGGTGGACAGTGTGCTCGTTTGTCACCCTTATCCTATAAAAAAAACTATTATAATCAATAAAATTAACCATTCGTTGTACACATATATCTTAATAGGTATCATCCACTTTGTTTGAATGAAATCGACATCAAAAATAAACGAAGCGGATCATTAATAAGTCAGGTTATAAATGCTCTCATATTTCTCGTGCTGATTCACCTCAATACTAAATATAATTAAGTTTTCATAAAATTTTCTCCAAAGCCGGCACATTTGTGAACTACTACCAAGAAAAAACCATAGATATCAAGTGATAACCTTACTGGTGGAATACCTTATCCTGGGGATTATTCTTTGTGGAAGAGATACATCCTGGTACAGAACAAAAAACCATAGTATTATACACATACACTTACTAGTTGTCACTGTAGTTTACTGAATTTGCCCAAATATATTTGTGATATGTGTTAAGTCTCGCTAAAAGTCTCGTAAAAAGAATACATATCGACAGTTAACCTCAAATATATAATAATGCCGGCACACCGCCTGCAACTTTACAAGGTGCAGGTTCGACCTCTCATGGAATACTGTTCCCATCTCTGGGCAGGGGCTCCCCAGTGCCAGCTCCTTCCACTTGATCGAATCCAGCGCAGAGCGGCTCGAATCGTCGACGACCGAGTCCTTTCCGATCGGCTCGATTCATTGGCACTGCGGAGAGATGTTGCATCCCTTTGCATTTCTTTTCGCATCTACCACGGGGAGTGCTCTGAGGAATTGTTCAGATTAATCCCAGCAGCCAAATTTCACGAACGCACATCGCGGCAGAACTTGATGATTGGCGGTCCACCACTGTGCGATTTAGAAGATGCTTTCTTCCTCGCACGACTTCCTTATGGAATCGATTACCATCAGCGATTTTTGCGGACCCATACGACTTAGGGACCTTCATGAAAAGAGCCTACTCCTTTTTGAAAGGCCGGCAACGCATCTGCAATTCCCCTGGTGTTGCGGTTGTTCATGGGGGGCGGTAGTCACTTACCATCAGGTGAGCCGCATGCTCTTTTGCCCCCTCTCCTATAAAAAAAACCTACTTAAAGAGTTTATAACATAAATAAGACACATGTTTTGTTTCGTATGTATTTTAACAATTTTTTATAAATATAAAATTTTAAAATTTAAATAAATACCTGGAATATAATAATAAATTCTCATGAATACTTGAGAGACAATTTCCAACTGAAGGTTTTTATGTGTCGTTATGCGCGCTAAATTCACAATTTTTCCCTAACGCGCCAAAACAAGTATAACTTCAAAAATTATTCGATTTTGAAATATTATTCAATGATAGTGTTACGGCCCACAGCTGCCTCTGCAAGGGTCGCCTTGGCTAGCCTCCTCGACGGGCAGCCGAGGGTTCGGGTCCAAATGGCCTTATGGAAAAATGACCTATCCTACTACACAAAAGGGAGAAGGCTAGGTAAATAAATAGTACGTACCTGGATCCGAAGCTAAGACCGCCCCAAGGCGCAGTCAGGTCGTAGGTAGGTGTAGGTGCATGTAAAGTGGTGTTTAGTGGTGTGTATATGTGGATGACCTGGCCCAGCTGAGGACCTGGCAGCGGCCGGTTTCCATGCTGCCCCACAATGCTGCATCACTCCAGCAGGCGTCCCCAATGGACAATTTCTTTCTTCATGTCACTTTTTCAGTATCTCAACTTTATTGTACATTTAACTAACTTCAACTCAACTAATTCAACGTTCATCGTAGAATCGAACACGTGATACCCAACACAAGTAACGGACAGTAGTTTGAAGTTCAACATTCAATGTCCCGGATTCATTTATCACCAAATTACAAATAGGGAACTAACGCGATCTCTTCATGAGTCACACGGTTCAGCGTTACAAACACAACTAAGCTCCTTCGTTCGATATTAAATACTACGCCGCAATAAGAATTCAAAATCAACCTAGCTGACACGTAAACTAGCTACAGAGTCAGAGCTATCAGAACACACAAAGGCTCTTAACGCGACGGTATAATTAAATAATGATTTCCAAAACAATCAACCGGGCGACGCCTAGAAAAGGAATGCGCGGTTCAAATTCCAGACCGTATCTATACTCGGCGCTCGCGCAAATTCCTCATCACACGAGCAAGTTAAATATTGTAAAATGCACTTCAAAACGCAATCACTATATAATTGGCGGAATTACTTTCAAACGAAATTACTTTAATCAGTCAAATACAATACAAGCCTCTTGTCACGAACTTAAAACCTAGACAAACCAAACCAAGGCGGTTTTCACGAAATCACAATTACGTAGCGAATTAACGCGCAGAAATTCTAAAAATCTAGACCATAACCGAAAACCGGTCGCGCGAAACTTCTGCAGCGGTCACCGAGATACGCTAATTAACTGTGCCGCTGCCCGCGAGCTACTGACGCCTGCCAGCACCAGCGCCAAACGCTGGAAAGCTGCCTTCTGCGGCCCCCTCCCCGCGACACGTGTGACACCTGGTACCATCGGGCGATTCACTAAGTCCAACGTGATTGGGTGGCATCTCAAATGCCTATATTTGGCCAAAACAGATAGCTTGCAATTCAGTTTTTTAATATTAATTTTTGGTTCGATTTACGTAGAATATTAATATTAAAAAATTGAAGGTAGCGGGGCTAACTGTGACATCGGGACGTTAAACATCTCTATCCACCCTCCCCCCCCCCCTAGTGACCATGGGTTGCTGTAAAGCAACCGAAACGTCGGGAATTAAAATAGTACATAAAATACGTAAAAAATTGTTTTATTCAATGTGTAGTGCTCGCGTAAATATAAGAAATCATTATTTACAAATATTTATTATTAATAAATGAAATAATTTCCTCAAAGTAATGCCTTCCAGGCTTCATTTCTTTCACGGTGGCCAGTACTAATGGATACTAGCTATACGAGTATACAGAATAATAATACACGATTGTGTGCAAAACATAGGTTCACTCTTTATTCCCGCAACACTTATAGTCCGATGGGATGGCAATTCGACACTATCGGAGAGAAACAATGTACATGACCAAGACTTTATTTGCTTTCCAGGATGTTAGCGTAGTTAACGTAGGTTCAATGCCGTGAATCACTGCTAACTTCCTGACTCCGAATAGGAAAACTTATAAACTGATTTAGGTCCAACTCAGTATTCGAACCCAAAACATGATCAGCAATCACATTTGCGACCACTAGACTAACTTGGCATTCATTTTGTATGAAAACAGGTGTGGTAACTCGGTTGTTTAATAATGAACTTAGTATATAATTGCCTTCACCTTACTGCTTCGTTCTTTGAATTTCTCGGAAAGATTATAGCAAATCTTTGCTCACGGACCGAGCAGGGAAAGCTATAATACTTTGACCTTTTCACCAAGCACGTTTGTTTACACATGTAGTTTATCCTAATCCTTAAGATGTGTTGTTGAACACAAACGGTTAAAATATAACATATACATAACTTAGGGCGCAAGATTTTTGTTTGGTATAATTTAATATAACTGTTTTTGAAATGTACCTCTAAAATATAACAAAGAACCTACTCTTGGACATCAAGTGATTCAAAAGCAGACATGAGTTTGTAATTGGTGTCATTATGCTGTCCCGGAATACACCTGCACCTGTTTTAATTCCCGTAGACCCTACCATCTGAACAATAGGAAAACTAGAGGAGGCTACTACTACTATTCAAATATAGAACTAAAAATGCGGTTGAAATACAATCACTTTTTTTGTTTTTTCTTTATTTAAATGAGGATAAAAATGAGCACAGCCCCAAATGTTGAAATTAATTTACGAAGGCATATTTTACAGTTTTTGTTCTCTTACTGTTAAGTAACAATTTTTATCTGTGTATAGCCTCTACAGTCGAGAATATGTGAAGCCCGCGATTTTTTTTATTTCTCTATGCACTTAAAATTGCACTCAACTCTTTAAGTAGTGCCGTTTGTGATCAAATTTCAGTTCGCTTGTCTATCATGAAATTTTAAAGCAAACACTTCTTAAACCTAACACGACATTCTCTTTAGCTTATAAATAAACGAATCAATCCTCGAAGGATTAAGTGATATGTGTGTCGCTACCCCCGAGGATAGACTGGCGTACCGCACTTACTACTGGTTGTCGAGTTTTCGTTCCTATCACGTCTTTACGGAACACGGTACATTTTCGTGCTATTTCGCACTGAAATTCTAAGACGTAATTATATTGTACCTCATTATTTCAATGCTGACCTTTACAATCTATACCGAGTTCTCTACTGCTTAATATTTCTCCCAAAAGAGTGCGACAAAGCACGCTCGTCAGCTACATGCATCAGTCTATGCACTCTATGCATGTCATCAAACGTGAAAACATTATGTATTTTTTAAATATGTATTAAAGTTGAGCTATAAAAATAATTTTAATATTTATACCTTATTTACAGAGTTACCACCAGAGAAGCCGTCAATCAAAGCAGAAAAAGGCTGGTATGCCTCAGGGGATTCTCTTCGAGTCCAGTGTTCGTCACCACCTGCCGATCCGCCAGCTAATTTAACTTGGCTGTTAAATGGACGAGACGTGAGTATTGAAAAGTTTTGGTTTTCTAACAAATATCTATCTATTAAGGCAGAGATAAATTTGGATAAGGGCACCAGCTATAATACATAACTTGTTTCGCTGGACAGGTGGGTTAGCAAGCGCAGAGCTGATACCCTAGTAGTGGCACCAAAATATAAAATAGAATCTGTAATTAATTTTAAAATGTTAAAATTAATTATATACGATCCGCATGGGAGTAACCACTAAGTGTTCTGTTACCGCAATCTGATTCTCCTGAAGATGCTTTTTTAGATCACGTAGCAAATGCTCTGTAGTTTAGATACAACACGTGTCGTATTATTAACGGTAGTGTTTCTTTCCTAGTGTAATGGTGTTGGGATAGTAATGACTGATATTGCACGCAATTGAGGAAGATATGGGAGATGTTCTACAAATTAGTTAATTTTAGCATTTTTAATTTAATGAATTTTTTCTACAAAGTAACGCCTGTTTCAATTTATAATCTTCAATTATTTCTAAAAAAGAAATATCGATATACTGGGTGGTGCTTAGGTTATCACGTTCAATAGCACAGCAGTTAATACAAGTTGATATATGACTGTTAAAATAATAAAATAAACAATAATAAAAATAAGTTAAAAATGCATCTTTCAAACAATATAAATAGCGTAAAAAATTACACGAAATAAATCATCCTTGATAATATTAGTTTACTGACCCGAAATGACCGGTAAAAGCGGCAACGGCGCGGACGCGTTGCGGCGTTCAGTGCTCACATGACATCGACATACGTAATTATAATACCTACACTTGCCCATACTTAGATAATTAGGCACGCGTAGGGTGATGCTAATCCGATATTATCAACAAATCACAAATTTCTTGGTATTGTTTTTATCCAAATAATCACTTTAATCTTGAAATCACTCAAGTTTAATAATCAAAACAAATCAAATTTCACATACACGTGTGGTATTATACTTCTCTCGGTATGTTCGTAATACCAGTGTCATGTTTTGGTGGTATTCTCAGTAAATCAAAATCATGTCGGTATATTCCAACGACGTGAAATTAACACGAGACAGACATCTCAAAACTTAAAAAAGTTATACGTTAAACAAAATAAAAGCGTCCAATTTCGCACAAACTGTTGCACCACCGTCTTATCACAATTATTATTATCGTATTAACGTGTCCTATCACAAACAAATTAAGAAACTTATCAATATATCCACCAAACAAAAAAAAAAACAATTAAAACTCAAGGACCAGAATGTTAATTGTTATATTTTTTTTAGTTGTGTGTGCTTATGCCGTTGATTTCATCTCGACGCTGTATATTTTTAATAAATAGTATATAATGTTTATGATATAATATGATATTTGCTATATGATTGTTGTTTACAAGTTAGTGACGTAATAGCTCAAGACATAAGCGCACTCTTACTCGTTTTTATAATATTAAAAATATCACTTTTAATATTATACATGTTCCCATAAAAAAAAAACAACACAATTTGAATTTATCTCATAACTCATTCAATCGTCTATGATATTAAATGCTAGACAAAAGCAATTAAAATCAGGGATTTACTACTCGTAGGAACTAGCATTTAAAAACTTCTGTTCTGGATCTAAAATATCCATTTTATTTTATTAAAGTTAGATTATTTTTTAAATGATTATTCCATCACAGTAGATTGCACACAAATTCTAAGTTTATTTTTGTTTACGACTTTTTTGTTTGACGATATATATATATTGGATAAAAGTAAATGCAATAAAGTAAAATAATTGAAATAAAAAACTCATCACAAATTTATTATTTAATTTTTCAAACTTACAAATTCAACGTTATCAACAGTCGTAAGATAAAACCTAAAGTAGCTAAATTTGTTTCCATTAAGCAAAACGGACGCGATTTGTGATTGTAATTGGTTTTTCCTTCGTCCTGACTTGTTTTGCACCGCAATGTTTTAACAAATTGTACATTAAAGTCCCTGCGAAGCAAATTTATTCAGAGCTTAAAAGCGTTAGCGTGTTCAATTATTTATTTAGCCGTTTCTTTAACTACTTCAAATAGCTGAATTGTAAAGATTAATGCAAAACAGATTTGAAGAATGTTCGCTTAGCTATTCTACTAATCCTTAATTTTAATTTAAATAACAGTTGAATACACAATGAAGCATTACCATAGACGTTTATCGGAATTACATTATAGCGTAGTTAGTATTCAAAATAATTAAACGTTTAATTCTTCGTAATGAAGTCTTTGGTCAACTTTTACCCTTACCACCTTTACATACCTTGAGACAGCTTTGTGAATTTCCCTGGGCTCAAAATGAGTGCTAATTCCCCTACTATGGCATGGCCCTACTAAGCCTTATTTAAGCTTAATAAATATTTAGAAGCTGACCTTATCAAGCACCCCACGTGAAAACACCAAATTTTCACACTCAATAAACGTCTTAAGTTGTGGTTAGGTAAAATTTCGGCTATTACAATAATTTCCATACAAAAGGATTTTCCAATGGTGCTACAATAATATATATATTAAAAATGAAAATGAAAAGATAAGAAAATACAACGTAAAATAAACCATCGGACGACTAATCGCTTTTAGAAAGCGCACCAAATGAAGCGATGACCAAATGCATGTCATATTATGCAGAATGCTTGTTAATTTAGCTAAGGACAGTACATTGTGGGGGATTGTACTATGGGGGAATTCCTATTTCAATTTAGTTTCACGATCTGTATCAATAATGATTTGGATGATAAATTATTCATTTTGCCACTTCTGCCAAAAATGCTGCGTATCTTTGTAGAGCATTTTCTTTTTAATTGAGAATATTTAGAGATGGTAACGCAGTTAGCTGTCTTTCTATGAGAAAGAGCCCTGGGTAGAGGCAAAGGGAAGAGGATAGTGGACAAAGGGGACGACTGTTAAGTATAGACTCAACCTGCACAAATAGCGTTGAAAGCTCTTCGAAGGTTAAATAAGATATACCCATAACGCAAATACCACTAAAGTTAAGAGCGTAACATGATATAACAACAAATTTGAAACCTACTTGAGTTGCAAAACCAGAAACAGTGTTAGTATGATTGCTTAGAAACTTATGCTTTTAACAGTGGTAGAGCCACGCGGTAGCTTTTGCTGTGTTGCAAGTAGGGGCCGGCTCGAGCCTTCGCCTACGCAGATTTCAGATGTGGAGGATCATGCACCTTCCCTGTTGGACCTTCTGCTGACCTCTTATCCGGTCAGATATCAGGTCTCCGTCGACGAATCTCTTGGCTCCTCGGAAAGAAACCTGAAAGAAAACATCACGAGGAAACCTGCAAGTCTCAAAAAAATATTTCTAAGACATGTGAAGTTTGCCAACATGCATTGGGATATTTCCTTGCCCTAAAATACTCAGACAAATATAGGCTGTAACTTTATATGATGAGGACCATGACGATGACCATGACGATGACCATAAGGACGACCATGACGATGACTTTGACGATTACCATGTCGATGACTATGATGATGACGATGTCGATGACGATGTCGAATCGATATCAACATTGAGCAATGATGTGACGATGACGATGACCATGACGATGACCATAAGGACGACCATGACGATGACTTTGACGATTACCATGTCGATGACTATGACGATGACGATGTCGATGATGATGTCGAATCGATATCCACATTAAGCAATGATGTGACGATGACGATGACCATGACGATGACCATAAGGACGACCATGACGATGACTTTGACGATTAACATGTCGATGACTATGACGACGACGATGTCGATGATGATGTCAAGTCGATATCGACATTGAGCAATGATGTGACGATGACGATGAACATGACGAAAACGACAGGCTTTAAGACATTCCATCTTAGTCCTCAGAGTAAATGCAGTAGCCACTTACCATTAGGTAAATACGTTCGTCACTTCAGTTTTATTTTTAAAAAATGAGGTAATGGTAAATGGTACCTATTGCAGCCGCCACCTTGGATTTAAATTTCGACAGCACTATCGGTTTCAAAACCCGCGAAAACCATGAGAATGACACCCATGATGAAAAAATTGATATCTATTGTAGCCGCCATCTTGGATTTACATTTCGACATTATCGGCTCCAGCACCCTCGAAAACCATTAAAATGAGACCCATGACAAAACAATTGATACTACTTACTTTTAGTACGTAATACTAATATTTATTCTGTACTTTTAAAATATTGTAATAAAAAAATCTCTCATTATTATTATAATCAAGTATTTAAGAAATTTGTTTATTCGAATATTGTGTATTTGTACAGCGATCTTTTTGAGCCGCTGCAAACAACCGAAACAAAGTCAACTCACGACGGCAGAAATAATTTACATACAAGGCTACCAAATCAACGAAAATTTCGCCATTTTGGAGCCGAAAAAAATTTATTATAGCTAAACAACAAAACGGATTAGTAAGCTGAAGTGGCAATGGGCCGGCCATATAGCTCGAAGAACCGACAACCGATGGGGAAGAAAGGTTCTCGAGTGGCAGCCTCATACCGGCAGGCGAAGTGTAGGGCGTCCCCCCACTAGATGGAGTGACGACCTGGTAAGATATGCAGGAAGTCGATGGATGCAGGTGGCTCAGGACCGTGCTTTGTGGCATTCTTTGGGGGAGGCTTATGTTCAGCGGTGGACTTGTGAAGGGCTGTAATGATGATGATGATGATGATGATGATGAAACAACAAAAAAAAATACCCTACCATTTACATTTAGTGGCTTCCCACATGAAAGATGAAGAGATTAAAAAATAGATTGAGTTAAACAATTGATACTTTCAAAAGTTATCGTGTTTACAAGCCTTGGGGACTTGATAAATCCACACCATAAGCCACTAAAACCCCTTTTTTATTTAAAAATAGCAATTAATCAATTTAAAAAAATATTACTAGTAAGTTCAACAGTCATTTATCTTTCTAACAATGTGCTTTTTATATCATTTATATGTATA